AACAGTCACATCAGGTTGGCCTGCAAAGAACAATCTGTTCCTGATAAGAACACAAGCAAAAAAGTATTTAAGAAAATGGCTGCAAACAGGTCTTAAACTGAAACTACATAGCAAAATCAGCATACCCAAATCAACTCTGGCAGAATTGATTTCAACACTTTTGAAGTGTCTATATGGGTCCACAACACAAAGTGTTCATTTAACTCTTTTTGAGGGGTTGATATCTTAACACTAAGTAAGTGTACTAAACAAGCGTTAAGCATCAACGCTCTCAAGGCACTTCTAGTCAACTTTAAATCAGTGTTAAGCCAACAATAACACTGTAAGCTGTAACGGCTGTTCTGAATGACTAAAATTACTGAAAAAATGGCAAAAATAATAATAATAACAATACATTTTATTTGAGTACAAGCGCTTTACATGACACCCAAGCACATTTTACAAAACAAATACAATAAGTATCACATTACAGAAACAAAAGAAAACACAAGAAAAAAACAGACAGAGCAGCTGCATTAAGGTGGAATGAGCAGTCCGAAACAGGTGAGTTGTGAATTTGGCTTTAAACAGGATGAATTAACTAATGTTCCTGAGTTCCTGTAGTGAGCTCCATTAAACGGGCGGAGGGGACAGACAGATGGAGAGAGAACGGGGATCTGAGGGAGCGAGAAAGAAATGAAGCTTTTGTAATTATACTTGGAGTAAACATTCCCAGAGGCACACGTTACGTTCCTCATGCAGCTACTTGTACAAAATAATATTGATATTGTAGTGTGACTCACCAAAATAACATTGTGCTGTATGGACGCGGTTAGCATTACCACAACCAAAACGCTACTTAAGTTTGTGTTACTTTAGATTTTGACCATGTCAGTAGGAAAACAGTCTTATAAAACTTTATCATATCTTTAGTATTTGCTATCAAATGTGGAGTTCTATCGGTGGCCATGTGACAGTGTGGCGGTCAGCAGTGTGAACGTGACCTATCACACCAAAAACACAGGGTGCCAGAGGAGATATATTTATATATCAAAACATAATGTTAACATAACTTAATTCACTTACCGAAAAATGCAAAGAAGAAGCAAGCTTCAACAAGCTCAAACACAGCTTTCAGACTCCTTCGGTTCAGCTTCAGGTGAGACGCTCAGTTCATGAGACCAAGGGGAGGAATTGAGTCACACTGGGAGAGTCTTGGTCAGGTTTAGAGTTCAGAGTGAAACGTTCAGAGTTAATGTTACAGCAATAACACTTGCCGATTTGATCTAAAGACACTCGGCTTTGGCACCAACTACTTGTCAACTCAGACACCCAAAATTTAACTCTTTTCAATTTGCTGTGCAGAGAGCTGCTTTCCCATTGAGACAACAAGATAACCAAGCAGCTTGATGGGAGTGTAAAGGTCTCACACTTTGTGTGTGACTTCTTGTACTCTAGTTTTACATGTTTGATATCAAATATTGCACATAGCTCCTCTGTAATGGTCTTAGCATGTCTGAATCAAACATGGTTCAAGGTTCAAGGTGACTTTATTGGTACCCGTAGGTACATTTGTTGTGCAGTAGCAGAAGAGGGCATCTAACAATTCACAGAGACATTTAAAACACATCACAGTAAGAACAACACAGAGCACAGACACTGACAAGTACTCGCAAGCTTACCGAACAAGATTAAAAGCGAAATATGCGAAATGGCTTGACAATGTTAAATATTTCTTGTCTGAAAAGTGTCATAATGTAACGTGAGGTGAGTGAGGAGGACTAACTTAAATCACATACACCTGTCCAGGTGAGTGAAGCCAGCTGGTGCTACAGGAATCAGGCCTGGAGCCTTTCTCTCAGCACTGGGGGCCACTGGACTGGAGACATGATCTGGCTCGCCACTGGCTGTAAGCTCGATGTCAGACAGGACCCACTGCTTTCTGAGATGATGAAAGAATTCCCAATTCAGGTAGGTTAAACAGGAAAATGTTGTGTATATGTACAGTAGTGTGGACAGAGGGAGAGAAAAAAAACGTTTGAGAATAACTTGGTTAGTGACGAATATATTACTTTTCCCGACTAACCAAATGTGTTTATTATGCAATCTGCCCCAGACAACACTAATAGTTTAGTAAAATGTGTCCTGTTTGCCTGACATGAAGGTGATAGATGGATGGCCGTGCATATCAGAAAGCTTGCAGTGGACAGAGGGTTGCCCGTTCTACCTGATGGGGCAGTACACCGCTCTACAGGTAGGTATGTGTTTTGGTGTGTTTAAAAAAAAAAAAGGTCTTAGCGTCAATCCCTTTGTTCTACCTTCCCACCCAGGTTGGGCCTCATGCAGTAAATCTGGCAGGTGGACAGGCCGCCAGCATGCGAATCGCTAAGGACATCAAGCGCCGTCAGCAACAGGACAATGAACAGGCCTCTGAACTGAGTGGGGAGAAATCAACAACTGGAGAATACATTGAACAGATGCGAGGCCTGTTGTGGCTTTAATGCAACCATTTGGCCAGAGGAACTTTAAATGCACCGTGTTTGGAGATGTTCTGTGTCTAATAAAATGTTCATGTAGTTACAAGTATGCAGATATTCATTTAATGATGTATGTCAGATGGAAATGATGCATCTTCTACTGAAATCTAAAGCTTGACTTGTCACACAAAAACACAATCCCCGCTGTGAAGCATGGTGGTGGCAGCATCATGGTGTGGGGATGCTCCTCTGCAGCAGGAGCTGGAAGGTCTGCAAAGGTAGACGGTACAATGAATGCAGAAAAGTAAAGGACAATACTGGAGGACAATCTGATGCAGTCTGCCAGTACGCACAACTTAGTAGATTTGTTTCCTGACAAGACAATGACCTGAAACATACAGCCAAAACTATACAGATAGTCACTGTATTGTGCAGTGATCATGAAGGGGAATAA